AGTCACATTACACATCACGCAGCCATGAGTTTGAGGATCACAGCTGGTCCCCGCGCCCATCCTCCTGGAATGGCCGCCCCTCTGCTTGCTGGCTACCGTGAAATGAGCAGCCTTCCGTACCACAGCTTCCCAGCTTCGTGATCCTGCCTTGAGTGGACCTGAGGGAGTCGGCACCAGCCGACCTTTGCTCCCTTCGGTGGCTCGTCCCGGGTTATTTTTGTCACCATGGTGGAAAACTGACCCAGGACTGGTTGGGGTCAGGGCAGTGACTGGAGCTGGAGCTGACTGAATACTTGATGCTAGGTTACCATGTAAACCAAAAGTTGTGTTTATTTCGAATAATTTGTAAAAACAACCCCAAAAGGCTGAATATTACAGAAGAAATGATTTTCACTATGCCATGAATGAAATAATTCTGAGCAGTTAAAATTGTCCAATACTAAAATTCCTGGAAAAGTAGTGAATAATTCTGTACTACGCATATTCAAACCCAAGTGGGAGGTTTATCTGTTGCCAGTTCTAGAAGGGACTCTCGCAATGGGCCTGTGATGGACTAGGATAAGCTCTAACATCCTTCCAGAATCAAAAAGCTTACTAAATAGAAGCAACGACTGCGACACAGTGAGAAAGAAAACAGCCAAGGTGCATAGATGAGCAGATACGGTGACACCAGACTCTCTCAGGCTTCCCCGAAAGGGCTGCAAGCAGCCAGGCACCCCAGCCCCCAACAATGGACCAGGACGACAGGTTCTGGGTCTTCCCTGGCTGCGCAGCTGTGTCCCCCGAAAACAAACCTCTCTCTCCACTCCAACCTGAGGGCAGCATGCCCAGCAGCACAGCGCCCCTTCCTGACCCCCGCCTTTTCCCAGAAGGCAGGGAGCTCCCTGGGGTGGCTGAGATCAGGAAGGGGAGCCCCAGGTCCTTATCTGCATGCCCAACATTCCCTGCGAGCTTTTAGTCCTCAGCCTCACTGAAACGGATGTGCAAACTGCTGTGAGCAGCACTCCACAGCCACTCCTGGGTTAGTCTGGGGCCTGCGTCCTGCACACTGACGCCCTGTGCTGTGGTACAGGGATATGAAATGAAATGACTCACACTGGTGTTCCTGTACCTTGTTCATGACTTCTTCCTCAAGAAGGATGGAATCCAAAGTCCTATAAATCTAGCCAGGGTTGTTGTCCTGAATAGTGTGGACAGAGCAGTGGTCTCAAAAGAAAGAGGGAGAAACACTCAGAGCTACTAGCATGGGCGAGCCCTGGAGACCAGGAGCCAGCAAAGACCAACAGCACAAAGCAGCTCCCCGGAGATGGACCCACAGTTTGTGTCTACCACAGACCAGCATCGGATGGCAACAGCCAGCAGTGACAATGTTAGCAGCTGGCATCCAGCGGTACCTGGTGCCATGTGGTGACAGAGAACACCATTGCCAGTCCATGATTCCCATCTGAACGGAGCCAAAGAACCCCAGGCAGACTCTGCAGTGGCACAACATTGTGCATTCCCAACCAGAGCCCACCCGGTCTCTTAGTAACGAGGTAATTCCCTGCTGCTCCTTAAAGCACTGTCAGAAGCCCAAGAGCACAGCCAAAGTGTCTCAAACAGGAGAATTTTATGCGCAATCCTCTCTTCAAAGTCAAAATTTTTCAGCCCAAGACAGGGTAAAATGAAGCTCACCAAAAGAAAATCTTAGAGTTGCTACTGTGAGTGGCCTTTGGGGTGGTCAGGAAAAGGTGTCCTGGAAATGCGCCTCCTAATGTGAAAACAACTGGAGAAAACTAGGGCTTTTATCAGCATCTCGTTTAGAGAAATGCAGATTCAGCATGGATAATTACAGAAAGAAGTCAAAAGACAAAAAACAAAATGAAAAGCAGCTTGAGACTGTTCAGCCATGAAGTGTAAGCCTGAATATTTAAGTTTCACCCACTCCTGCACAGTATATATGACCAGCATTTTATTGTGTAAACCTGTAACTTTGCCTTTATGGTAAAAATAAAATCGTTTTCTTTAAACCTGTTTCCTTTTCTGTAAAATGAGGGAGTCGAACAGTGTGATTGCATCTGCTCATTTCAATTCTAAAAATCAACAGTTAATGGAATATACTTGCTACATATACTATGGCTACCCAAGTGGACAGTTTTAAGAGATCATGTTCAAATTACTGTCAAGCCACTTTTAGACACTCATTAGCAAGCAGGACCTGGAACAACAGAACCTATTAATTCCCAGCTACCATCAGTATGCAAGCCTCCAAGAAAAATGATAGAAGCAAACAGTCTTGATTATTAGACACAGGGTTCCCATACCAATAGGTTGGGAATACGGGCCAGAATGCTGATGGGCCTGAGAGGGTTCACTCCATTCCCATCACACAGCGGTACTCACAGAATTAATTTCACTTAAGAATCAAAGAGGAGCGTTTACATTCGATTTATGTGATTTCCTGGCTGCCGGTCTTGGGAAGCAGGAGCTGTATGAACAGACCCTTGGAGTGACCATGAAGGCAGAGGGATGACAGTTCTTGTTAAGCTCCACACTGCAATGGTATGTCTTCCTAGAAACACAGGATTAAGAAAGACTTAAGATCAGATTCTTCTGTCCTGCACAATTATGTGTCGCTTTTGCCTGTGTGGGCATTTCCAGCACACAACTCTTGTCTACCCAGCAACAGAGACTTTTACAAGCAGCTGAAGAGCTATCATGATGGCAGCTCTAAAGGGGAGATAAATGATGGGACATTTTGGCTCGAGGCCATATTTCATTGTGGGCTCAGAGAAGGAGAGACAAGAGCAGCCTGTGGAGGTACCTAAAAATATCCCCATGCTACAAAATTCTCAAAATAAAAAGAAGACGCAATTCAAAATGGTCAGAAATTTTTGACAGCCTTCACAGTGTACCTTAACAGTAAAAATTCAACTGTTCCCAAAAACCCTTGTTAACGGTAAGCAAAGTATCCCCAACAAACGTGACCAGGTTCCAAAGATCACGTTCACACTATTTCATGCAATAAATGAGTAGGAGTCAAGCAACACAACTTTGGTTTATTGAAATATTACAATATAAAGAATCTGTTGTAGAGAAGGTGAACCATAAATGCTAGCTCCTTGGGAAAGTACAAGCCTAAACAGTAACCTTGGAGACTTTATGGACAGCATGCCATGATCATGAAATAATGCATTACTGATAAATCCAATTTTCAAGCAGAGTCCACATCTGTAGTTTCAGTTCTAAGCTATAGTTTTAGTTCTTCTTCTGTGCTATTTGACATACACCATATTTCTAAATCTCTGTCCATGGTTCCGAAGAGAGTGACTGAAACTAGAAACTTAGAGTCAAGGTGGGACAGCGGTAAGCACAGCTGCCAGGGGCAGAAATCATGCTTGATGTTAACAGTCACCAGAATTGTTCGTCACCCAACAATGGTTCTCAAACTGTAGTAAGCATAAGAATCAACCAGTGAGCCTGGTAAAAATGGTGCCACTCTATGCTAATGCCTATTCTTAATCAAGGCCTGGAAAACTGCATTTCAGCCATCACCTGGGGATTTTGTAAATATGTTCACTCCTGGACTATATTAGAAAGATCATTCCCCAAGTAGATGATTGCTCCTGTAGGAATGTCATCTACTAAAATGGGAGTCGTAGTGTCTTCAAGTCAATGAGATTGTCTAAACGGATTTCAGGTGCAGAAAGGTGCTAGCTCTGTGTGGGACAGATTTTCATAATGGAGTGGCTTAGGTGGGGACCTGCTGTAACGATTCTGAATGTGATTGATGTCACAGCTGATAAAGCTGAACTGCGCTCACTAATGTACTGCGCTCTGGGAGGTTCTTCATGCTGGAGGCTGGGACAGCTGCCCAGACTCTGGGATTTTAATGAAGACAGGCATGGGCCTTTAATTCCACCCCGAGCCCAAATGTGCAAAACGGTTAGCACTGAGTCTTTTATCCATAGCCGGAACGGTGATGCTATTCTAATATAATTTCTTTTCTAATGTTATATTAAAAATGATTGATGTCAAAGGAAGCCCTTGCCATGGTGGGTGACCAAGTGCAAAAGTCACAGTTGGCCAGGACGTGGTCTCAAAGAGTTTGCATTCCAATTCACTCCCTTGCGTTCAGAACATGTGAGCCTAAACCCAATTTGCACTTCCTGAAAGATGCTCTTTACCCAGTACTTGGCTCTCGGCACTGAGGTCTGATTACCTTTTTCTAAATCTTAATTGTAAATAAGACTCAGCTATCCAGTCACCCAGAGGTTGCCGTAGAGGACTTTATTGAATTCTTAATGGTCCAAGTTATTTCCTAAAAGGAGAACCTTCTTTTGGAAAGTCATTCATGATGTATTTACTGTCTATAAACTGGTCAGGTTTTAAACACCATGCCTTCCAGAATACAGACAAAAGGAAATTAAAGAGGTAAATCTAATATGCCAAATTTTGCTGAGTACAAACATCATAATATGCAAACCTGATGCATTTCATAGCCTGAGTGGCATCCCGTGAAACCCCAGTGCTCAGAAAGCTCCCCAAGCCACAGACCCAGGCTATCAGCCTTCCAAAACACCTGCACGCTCGGTCTAAAATTAGACTATTGAAATTCTCCCCAGATTGTCACTTTTCTTTATTACACACAGATTTTTCTCCTCCCCCCATCAAGCCTCCTTTAAATGAGTCAAGAGTGCCACCAAGCGGCAACAGATCACACTCCTAAATGCAGTTTGATTGTCCTTTTAAAAAAAAACAGATTTTACTTTTGCCAGCCGCACTCAGACTTTGAAGAGAGGTTCATTCACATGGATTAAAACACGCACTTCAGATACATGAGTTATGGCTGTTTTTCAAAGTATATTTTGTTAGGTTCATAAGCAATTTTGCTATAATAACTTTTTAAATAGAAATTAGATGCATGGCTAATAGCAACTGTAAAAAAAAAGAAGTGCTAATAAAAAGAAAAACCCAATTTCCAAACATTACTGGCTACACAGCGATTCATGGTATGGAAAGGCACATAGCTTCTGGTAGAAAGTTTCCAAACACACAATGTTATTATTATTTCTGTCCTGGTATTTCAAGTATACCAGGTCAAAGACAAAGAGCCAAGGCTTTTTAAAAATAAGGTTTAATACCCGCAGGTTGATTTCTAACCTCAGCTCAGCAGTGAGGACCGATGAAGCATTCACATCCCTCTACCTTCTCAAAGGATTATGAAATCTTACAAGAAGAAAATCCACAGTAGTCACGTAATTCTACTTCAGTGATTAGTTCTGCTTTTCTGTCCTTTTATTCCCTCATTAAATGCGTGTATCCTGAGCAGCAGCTGTGCCAAGGAGACCTCCGAGAAAAAAGGAGTCGCACAGTGGTTGTGCTAGTGAGGTTCACACAACTGGGTCCCCCATTCTGATGAGCTTGGTGGAGGCTGCAAGCTGCAGAGCCTGAGACAAGGGTATTTACAATCACGTATTATGTTACACGGGGGGCTTTTTCTACAGCTCCTCAAATGATCTCACACTGACAGTTTCACTAATAGTCACAAATGCTTTGACCATGCCGGGCAGCTCCGAGGACTGTTCATCGCTGTTCCTGTATACCGCTCCAGATGTGAGTAGGGGTTACCTAACGACGTCATCAGAAGGTGTGTTGGGGTCAAAATGGACATCAAAATCTCTGAACTCTCTAAAGCAGACTCTTCAAAGGAAGCCAGTGCTCCCTGGGATGAAGACATTGAAATTAGCGTGGTGTTTCCAGGAAGGTCAGCGGCACAGGAGGTTCCACAGTAACTACAGCAGTGCTGACACAGCTCGGGACTCTTCTCCAAGTTTGGAATTTCTCTTACAGGAAGCATAAGAGTCTGACTGCATGTGCAGCCCAGCGTGGATTGCGCAGTGTCTATCACTTGCATGGCACTTGCATGGTAACCTCAAGGAACGAAGACTAGGAACTTAGGACTCTGGGAAGCCAAGCCAGCACCTCCCCTCCCTGCAAGCGGAGGCAGGGTGGCAGCCTGCAGCCCTTCCAGGGGGAGAACTAGCAGTGTCTCCTGAGATCCACGCCATGCTGGAACTTAGGACTCTGGGAAGCCAAGCCAGCACCTCCCTTCCCTGGTAAGCGGTGGTAGTTTAGCCCACTGCAGCCCTTCCAGGGGGAGAACTAGCAGTGTCTCCTGAGATCCACACCATGCTGGAACTTAGGACTCTGGGAAGCCAAGCCAGCACCTCCCCTCCCTGCAAGCGAAGGCAGGGTGGCAGCCTGCAGCCCTTCCAGGGGGAGAACTAGCAGTGTCTCCTGAGATCCACGCCATGCTGGAACTTAGGACTCTGGGAAGCCAAGCCAGCACCTCCCCTCCCTGGTAAGCGGCGGTAGTTTAGCCCACTGCAGCCCTTCCAGGGGGAGAACTAGCAGTGTCTCCTGAGATCCACACCATGCTGGAGCTTAGGACTCTGGGAAGCCAAGCCAGCACCTCCCCCTCCCTGCAAGCGGAGGCAGGGTGGCAGCCTGCAGCCCTTCCAGGGGGAGAACTAGCAGTGTCTCCTGAGATCCTAGCCCTGTTGGAGCTTAGGTCTCTGGGAAGCCAAGCCAGCATCTCCCCTCCCTGTGAGTGGAGACAGGGTGGCAGCCTGCAGCCCTTCCAGGGGGAGATCTAGCAGTGTCTCCTGAGATCCACGCCATGTTGGAGCTTATCTCAATCTCTCCCTTATTCTTTAAAAAAATTATTTAGTTATTTCTTATGTTTTTTAAATAAGGGGAAAAATTTTTTTAATTAGCATATATTATAGTAACTCTTTTTGATTTACTGTTAACTTGTTTTGAAGTCCTGTAATACCCCCACGATCTTGTTTTGACTGATTAGACTCTGTTCCATTCTATATGATAGTATCAAGTTTGAGGGTATAAGCACCTACTTTGAAGGCAATAAGATTCACTAAGATGCCCATTCTGGTTTGACTGTTGTCTCCTTTGGAAGTCCTGTAATGTTTACAATGCCTAAGTTTTATTGGTCTTGTTCTCTACTGTTTTGTCCAACTTTATAATATCTAATGAGATAGACTATTCTTTTTAAGGAAATAAGAGACAATTTTGATAACCATTGTTGATAACCTTGTACTCTGTTCTACATCATGTGCTATGTCTATCCTTGGTTTTGAGTGGCAGCTTTGTTTTCCATATTTGACTATATTCTCTTCCCCCCAAAAAAGTAATAAGGACTAGGAGTAATAAAATCCAAAATGTGTAAATTTTGTTGTAAAAAAGAGAAGGAAAAAAAAAAAAGAGCTCTATGGATATAACAGCAATTGTGTTTAGGGGTGTTAAATAGCTGACTATATTAATGTTTTTGGATCATTGAACACAGCTGTTTGCAGTCTCTCTGTTTGAATGTTCACTTTGTATTCTTTGATACTGTGATTTGAGCAACTATTTCCAAGATGATAATATGTAATCTATTAGCAGGTGATTTCTTACTATTATGTTTTTTTTTTTTGTAGTTCTGTATTACGTGTACCCTTACACCACTTTGTTTTGTTTTGTGTTTTTCTCTTTTTCCTCTTAAATAAAATTTAAAAAAAAAAAAAAAAAAGGAACGAAGACTAGGCAAGACATTTATGGTTTAATGGGCACAAGGAGAAACACAGTACAGAAGCTCTGTTCCCAGCAGGCTGTGTGGCCACCGCCTTGGGTAACATGCTGAATCAAAGCTGGGGACTCACTGCTTCAAGTCCCAGGAAGAAAGAAAAACACTGACAAAGAGTGACGAGGTATTTTCTTGTCATCTAAAAGCGTCTTACATTTATTTTAAGAGTCTTTTGGGTGTTTGTTTGTTTTTGAGGATTTAAATTTTTTTATTTATACATTATTTTTATTCATTATATTTTAAAGAAGTTAGGAAAGGAGGGGGAAAAGAAAGATAAACAAAACAATGCACCTGAGTTTCAAAACAGATTAGCTGGATCATTGCAAAGTCAATACATTGTGTATTACGTTTGTATTTGTTCAGAGTACAAGATACAGGCATGATATCTTGTCCTCGAGGTATTAGCACAAAACATTCATTTTTTATGATTTTAAAAAGCAAAACAGAAAAAAAGGATAGAAATGATACAGAATTTCAAAAAATAGTAGGAAATTAACACTAGTTAATATATTGCATTCTTTTTAAGGAACTAAAAGAAGCTAGCTGCATTTACCTCTCTTGTGTGGACATGTATTTTTTCCTTCTCTTCTTTTCCCCCATCAACATTTGTCTTTTCTTTTGGTTTCTTCCCAATTCACAACATCTATTGTACATTTGCATCCTATTTATTTGTTCATTTTTTCACACTAGAGGGACCTTGCGGTGTTTACCCATATCGGTCTGATTAATTTCACCTACGGGTACAGTCTCCAGCTGTATCCATCTTCTAATCTTATTTCCGTGCTGAGTTTTTTACTGTATCACTTTATTGCATACATAAAAAATAAAATATAGCAAAATAAATTGAGGCAGTAACAATCATGCCACAATTGCTACCTAGTGGGTAGTAACTGTAAAACACCAAAGATTATTATATGCATCCCAATTGAAGAGGTATTAAAATGTTAAAAATGTATTTTGGAATCAGCGAGGTGCATGTTTCCTGCTCAGGCTCTAAATCGGTCCTCAGTAGAGTACAGCGGTTTTAACTCACTTACTTGGGTGCGAGGGGCCGTGTTTAACCAGCCCAGCAGATAAGAATATGCATCGTAGAGTCGGGGAGACCAGCAATTAAACACTGGCTCCACGTCTTACAAGTTCTGTGACCTTTGGGCCAGCTAACAAGTGGTTATGCGCTCTGAACCCGTACATTGAATTGGAGACCATAATTACCACTGCCTAAGTACTAGCTGAAATCATGTAGCTAACACACCTAGCGTGTAACAAACCGTGCCCTTGTACCTCGCAGTTCTGTTACATAAAATCACGATCTTATGCTGTGAAGCTGTGAATTGCAAAAAACCTTGTTTCTTCCCCTCCTCCAATGATAGACTCTTCAATGTCTTTCAGCTTAACCTTGTTCAAGGACTTGGATCCCACCACTACTAATAGAACAGTACTAAAATAAACAATTTAAAAACCAGAGTAAAGCCATGTTAAGAAACAGAAGGTCGCTTCCATGGAAATGGGAAGGGGACCAGGGACAGAGGAGGAGGAGAGCGAGGAGCTAAGGGGAGGAAGGTGATCAAGAGGCTGCGTGCACACATGCAGAGGCCACACCGAATTAATCCCACGCACTAACAAACACCTAAATTAGTGCTCTGGCCTAAAGTTACTCTAAATAGGTACAGATTCGTCAGGAAGCATAAGGAAACCTGACAGAAATTCACTTTCTGAATGCCTCCCTTATCTTTAAATATTCGAACACTGAGGAATAACGAAATTAATTCCTAATATATTCCTGCGATCTTAATCATAGCATTTCAAGCAGAACTTAGATACCATCAAATGAGCTGCCCCAGCCTGGAGAAGTAGGGACTGAAAGAAAAAGTGAGATTAGAAAACATGAAAGCCCGCCTTGCAGACAGCCTGGCCCCCAGAGGCCCGAGAAGGAGGCAGGACGGGGTGCCTGCCCCAGCTGGTGGCCGCCATCCAGGGGCTAAGGTTTCTGCTCCTTTGCTCCCAGGAAGGTGGAGCCAACTCAGCCACTGCCTGGAGCTGGGGACCTGTCTGGGGCATAGAAGGACAAACTCCATCGCACGTTGCCGTCTTCAAAACAGGTGCTCAGCTTACCAGATACAGGCCTGCAAACAGGTCAGTCAATACAAGCACTCTGTTCTTTCCATCGATTAATCGGATTAGGAGCCCAGTTATCTCAGCCATCCTGAGAGAGGACGGGGAATACATGTATTTTCCTTTTCCCCATCTCACTTGTTCTTTGGGGCAATTTCTTTCCCTTTTGCCATGTCTATCTATTGCACCTTTTTTCCTATCATCTTGCTTTTTCTTTTAATCTCTTTCAAATAAATAAATAAAAAGTCATTACTGTGGACAAATGCAAAAACTGACAAGTAAATAAAACTGGCAAGACTGATCAATTTAAAAAAGAAAGAAGGACACACGGCATCGCCAGGGGCACCTCTGGCCCTCCTGGAGGCCGGCCAGGCCGGATGTCCTGCGGCACAGAAGTCACTCCCAGGCCTCTCATGAGTAGATGAGAAAGTTTAAACCTGGCGATGTTCTCCCATTTCCCATGCCTGGGCACCACCGATAGCCTTCACCAGACAGATACAGACACAGATAATCATATAGAGGCAGAGAGAGAGCGCACCTGATGTTCTTCACCACTGGGATGAAAAATTGTTTTTGAAAATATATTTCTCAGCTTCTCAGCTGGGAACACTTTGTAGTCATTTCCACTTAAAAAGAGAGGAGGGAACCGTTAGTGCTCTGGGCAGGGTGAGCAAAGTGTTCAAGGAAACAAACCTTGGAAAGGTGCACAGTATTCACCCCCACTTCGCCAGTGGGCGTGGAGCTGTCTGCTTCGTTACTCATAAGCCCTGATTTCAGTTCGGATTCCCGCCTGCTAAACATCCAGACTGTTCCGAGCCCTGTGGGCTCCGGTAAGTGACAGCACATGTGGATGGCAGTGCTCAAAGTCCCCCCTTTCCAGGGAGCACTGAAGCTACCATTCCTTTGACGTCAGGGATTAATCAACCTTTGCTGAATGACCATGTGGCCCGTAATACAATCCGATGCTCAGGTAATGAAAAGGCCCATCTGTGTGCCCAGAGGTGACAGGCTCTCAGTGCTGATCCGTGTGAACCTGGATGCTGTAATGAGGTCAAACACGGTAATAAAGCAGTTTTCCAGTTAACAGAGCTCACATGCTAAAGTCTCAGGGCCTTCTAAATCATTTTCATAGTTTAAAACCCAAGATACAAAATCAGGCACCAAAGTAAACGTTTTTGAGTTTTCTCTTGTTCTCTTTCACTTTTTGTTTTTTCGGTTTGTTTGTTGAGACAGAATCCTTGTTGAGACAGAGTCCAAAATGTCCCACAGAAGGCCTCCCAAGAAGCCTTCAAATGTACACAGAAGGTTTAAAACCTGGAGGTGTCTCCACTCAGAAGGCTGAGGCAGGAGGACCACTAGCAGTCCAAGGCCAGCTTAGGCTACATGGCAAGATTTAGTCAACAAATAAATAATCAGTAAATGGATCCAGGCAGAGTGGCACATGCCTGTAATCCCAGAACTTGGAAGGCTGAGGCAGGAGGATTGCTATATGTTTGAGGCCAACCTGGACTACAAAATGAGCTCAAGGCCAGCGTGAACTGCATGCATATCAAGACCCTGTCTCAAAAAGACAAAGAAAGAAAGAAAGAAAGAAAGAAAGAAAGAAAGAAAGAAAGAAAGAAAGAAAAAAAGAAAGAAAGAAAGCAGCTCTAGGGGGAAGTTAGAGGGGAAAGCAACGAGAAAGAGCGTCACCTAGAACTACCCAGAGCTCAAGGGCAGTAATCTTCCAGGTACAGCTCGGGCTGTTCTTGGTGAACGTTTACCCAACAGGGTTTGTGTGTAAAGGGATCTGATCTCACCCAAAAATACCAGCCTCACTGGGTCCGCAGCAGCCTGACATCGCAAAGCACTGGTTCCTTCAGGCCCAAATAGAGACAAATGAGAAGCTCTACTCTTGTGCCAGGCATTTGCACACGGTGTGAATGCGTTCATTGGATTGGCCAGAATTTCCAGAAAATACCAATTAGGAAAACACGCACGTCTGAGGAAGAATGCAAGCCTGGACTTGGCCTCTGGGAAGACTGAAGGTGGCCGGCCAGGGGGGAGCAGGGCCACCCTCGGGTGGGAGGCCCGGGGACCAACTGCTCCAGCCTTCATGAACACCAGTCAGTGTCAACGACTCTGTGAGCCCTTAACATTGCAGAGGGGCATGGACAGATGGCATTTGTGAGAACGTGAGCTAGGAGTGTGATGCGATCCTGGCTAAGCTCCCCCAGGTAGGAGCTGCTCACTCCGGGGAGCTGCTGAATGACTCGGGAAAGATGAGAGGCTACAACCCCAAACCACAGACTCCCCACCACAGGAAACCACCCATTCAGGTCAACGGGATCATCCTGCAAGTGACAGCTGACTGTCATCTCGCAAAGACCAGGAAATGAGTTTTGTGTGATCTTTTCTCCATTCTCATCTTGGCCTCCCTACAGGGGCAGCAGAGCCGACCACCATAAGGAGTTTCCGAGACAACGCGGGGACCACCGCAAAAATGCTCCGGCATTTGGGAAGAGACTGAGTGAAGGGGGAGGCCGGGGAGGGGAAAGGCCAGGACCCGGGCTGCAGGCGGCAACTCAAGGACAGGACCTTGGAAGAGGCAAGGGTTTCCTGCTTCCTCCAGGCTGGCATTAGTCTTCCTCCATCTGCGCCAAGGCTAGGGGAGAAGGCGACACCCTGATTCTGTCCCTTCCCCAGTCCCTAAGGGCTGCATCACCAAGAGAGTGCAAAACCACCAGGGAAAGGGGGCAGAGAAAAGCAGAAGAGGCGTGGCTGTGTTGTTTCCCATCACCAACAAAGCCACGCCGGAAGTGGGCAACATTCATGCTGCCACATGTGATGCTGGACCAATCAGAGACAGATGACAAATGACTTTATTTAAAATTAGGTTCTCAGCACCAAATCTGAGCTGTCTTCCTCCCCGAAGCACCCACAGGGTTTCAGGGCCATGAGGTTGTGTTGAAGCTGCTGGGCTCTGTAAATACCACGCAGGGACGGTTTCCAGCAGACAGTGCTGTGGCCAGATGCACTCAATGGAGCTCTTGGGGAGCTCCGTCCCCACGACACAGGCTTTAGCACTGGGCCCCGAGGCTTTGTCTGATGTACACAAATAATTTATCAATTCCTATGCATTTTTTTCATTTTAAAATGAAAAAAATTAAAATGATGATACAGAATTTCAAAACAAAACCATAGAGCCACTGTTCTCTAGAAATGATCTTGTTCTCTAGAAATGTGCTTGAAGTTTGCCCATGCACCTCAGAGTCCATCTAACACATGAAAAGTTAAGCCACCTTTCTTATTTCAAACAGCAGAAAACTCTGAAATACTGTTTCCAGCCATCTGGAGGAGAAAACTGCAGTGTGGCACCACCGTGCCTCCCTTTTGTACCTTTGAAATAACCAACAATAGTCAGTTCACAATGGTCAAATCTGTTCTTGATGACTTCTAAACCAGCCAGGGTTTGGCATGATGGGGTATCCTGTACCAAAAGCTGCTGGAATTTGAAACTTCAACAAAAGAAAGTCCAGAGTTTTTCCTTTGTCAGAGAAGCTCTTTTCTTAAATAAAGAATGAGATCGACAGCTTCTTATTGCAGAGATTTTTGCATACCTATAAAATGCAATTTTTAAGATGAGAGCATCAAGTAGGTTCTTTGTTTCATTTCCCAGAATTCAACGCTGAGCGAGAGATTTGCAAAATCCACCTGGGCTTTGTTCCTTCAACAGCGATGCTAAGCAGAAGCACCTAGGCTTTGGGGCGTTAACTGACGCTGTCTTCGCCATGGCTTGTGCAAATGGAATGATTCAGTGTTCCTTTGGGACCTGTGAGAGATCCATTTCATGCACCCTCCAGGATGGGACTGAGCCCACAGCAAGCGTTCTGACCCTGATTCTCTGCATCGTGCTTCCCCACGCAGCGTCCTCTGCTGAGGAAGACCTGGCAAGGGCCTTGCTGGATCCTCTTGTTATCAGATGACCAGGGACCATGAGGCCGTCCTTCCTGCAGGCTGCCCCAAAGCACTGATCACAGGGCTGCACTTCTCAAAAACCCTAGCACTGTCAGTGTTGGTAAACATTTTATTATTCTACATCTAAAATATCTTACTCTCATTCATGTTGCTTCTTTTTAATCTTCAAAGTTTAAAAATTGTGGTGACTGCTTAAGTCAGCGCAGCACAGAGAAGGCCAGCTAAAGAGAGAGCGTGGCGCGGTGCACTGTACTTGATTTGCTTCCCCGTCCGAGCCGCAGCCTTGCCTGTGGCCGGAGAACCGACTTCAGCTTCAAGGAAGGTGTCACCCGTAACCTATGCGGTGTGTTCCCCTGTGAGGGCACGGGTGTGGGCACAGGCTTTTAATGACCTTCCATGTAAATGTCAGACATGCGACTTTATTTTTGTTGCTCAAGTAAGTTTGATTTCACAGACTCCGCCATTGTGAGTGAGAGCATCTCCAAAATATCTGAAAGAGTTGTGGTTCTAATTATCTTAGAGAAACTAACAAACCTCCTGAAAATCTAATGTAGGAGAAAAGAGACCGACCCGTGCATCTCTCCACCATCCACATCGTGGCCATTATTTTTATTAATCTATTTAAAGAAAGCAGCATTGTTATTATTTTCCTTTGTCTACTTTCTTTTTTCTGTTTGTTCTTTAATAACTTCATGTTTAGATTTTTTTTTGTTATACTCTTTCATGACTATGAATTTTCCACTAGCACACCTCTAACTGAATCTCATGTTTCTGATAAGCCATAGTCTTGTGCAATGGTAGTTCATGAAGATGAATATTTAGTTAGGAATATCAGCAGACACCTCTCCTAACATACAGAAAAGGCTTGCCCATGCCAAGCAGGGAAATACAAGTCTGTATCCAGAACTTGGGAAGTTGAGGCAGGAGGACCACCACATGTCTGAGGCCATCCTGGGCTACAAAGTAAGTTCAAGACCAGCCTGAGCTTTACAGCAACACCCTGTGTGAAAAACAAACAAAAAGACATGCATAAGAATAGGGCCAATGCATATAACAAATTAAAA